CCCCCCCCCCCCCCCCCCCCCCCCCCACCCATTTGTAATTTACCATTTTTTTCTTTAGGTGAATGCTGTTTATTAAAGTGGGCTCTTTTATGGAAAAAAAGTTTTTCTAACGGGAAAATTGACAAAAACAGCACTAAAAACAAGGCAAGTGAGCTGTTCTAGTGTAACCTTTCTTTTATTCTTTTAGCATTAATTACTAGAAGAAAATACTATTAATTTTTTTAAATATTTTTCACAAATAGTATGAGATTAATGCAGCACAATTCTTATGTTACAAAATGAACAAAAATACATACATTGACTATAGACGAGAAATAATTCTCATACTTCACATCGATCGGGTATATTTTGTTCCGGAAAATGATACTTGTGCACATTAGGATGTACATTGAGGTAGGCATAAAACCTCATGTACACTGTTATGTACGTGTAACATCATCATTTTGTTCTTCCTTAAGAAGCAATATGAGAAAAAACACGTTAAGATTTTATTTGAAAAAATTACAATGGGAGAAATCGCAGGTTTCGTTTAAACAAGCTAATGAAAAACCTTCATTCCGAAATTCCATTTCACCTTTTTTTTTTCCAAAAAAATAACTAGACATAACATAAACCCAAAATAATAGGAATCTACTTTTATATGATGAAAACAATCAAGACAAGACAAATGCCAAGCAAAATCCGAGGAAGCCACCACGAATGTGTGTAAGAATACACCACTTTCTTTCTGCCTTTTTCTTTTCAAAACTTTGCATCAAATTGCACTATTTTATTTATTTATAATCAAAAGGCACTTCAAGTTTCCATGGAAGGTGCATGCCATGGAGTTGCAAATCAAGGGCTTAGTTGTATTTTCACATTGTTTGCATATAATTGGACAAACAAAGAGACAAACAAGACAACTTTTTTTGTTGCTTAACCTAAAAATACTTCAAAGGATTGTAAGAAGTCCCCTTCTTTTGTTCTTTTCGATTAGGATTCGACAAGACATCCATGTCTTCGTAGAACACGAGAATTTAAACAAATACCTAGCAACAAATTAATTTACTCTTCATCCACACACTTCGCCGAATATATTTTTCTTTCACATATTTCGTAATCATTCACTTATTATCCAAACATTTCATGAAGATTCATAATTTATAATCACTTAAATATTAATTGAATCACTTACCAATCATTCCCTAAACATTGTTCTTCATTTGTTACTTAGTTCAATATGTTATCCCTACATTACTTATAATATTCATTTCTTTATTATTAGCCTCTCGCAAGTGTTTGGATCGTCACTCAATCTTAGGGGTGTCCAAAAGTTTCGAACCGAACTGAACCGAGCGGTTCTTAATAAGTTAAATACCCAAACGAGTACCCGAATCGAGAACCGATGGGTTTGTGTCGGGGTTTAGACTAAGAATCGAAGAACCGAATAAGAACCGAAACCAAATAAATTTTTTTATTTTTTATATTGAATTAATTAAATTATTTTATTTTTTCTAAACAAATTAGCAAATTAATTAAATAAATCAGATTATTTCATAATTTTAATTTTAAAGCCCAAATTATTTTTAAAACCCATTAATCCATTTTAATTTGCTCATAATTATATGACTATTCGAATTTGCTCATTAAATTTAAAGCCTTCAAATGAGATAAAATTAATCTTATTGGACGGCTAGTTATTTATATATTTTTGAATTGTGCTACGTTAATTTGTAAAAATTACGAATGAAATGTCTATTTATGTAACATTGCTGCAAATATTAAAAAAATTAATTATGGTACGAAACCGAACCGATCTGAATGGAACCGAACCCGAACGGTTCCATAATTATATTTGGACTCGACGGTTCCATTTATTAAATACCCGAAAATTTTGGGTCGGTTCGATTCTCTTCAGAACCGAACTGAATCGAATCGACCCACGGACAGCCATTATCCACTCGGATCAACTACTAATCATTTTCTTTGTAAGTTATGGCTTCAAAAATTAACTAATCAGATGCAACCTTTTATTTGGGCAAATTCTTCATTTTGCTCCTCACCTCGTTCACAATCTCAACAGGTTGTCGAAAAAGTTTCCAAAGATAACTTTTGTTGTAAATGTGAACAAATTATAGTTAGTAGCCAGATTCCTTCTAGATAGTAGCTAGGGGGTATTGTGAGCAATTATTTGGCAAGTACTACTAAATTATGTTCATCCTTAATTGTTTACTTTTATATAATACTATATTCATTGAACAAACTTTTAATTAAATTATTCTCAATAATGAGGCAGGTAAAAAGCCTATATGAAATTATGTCAATTCTAATGAAGGATCTAAACAAGATAAGGAAAAGGCCTTACAAAATGAGAGTTGATTTAGGATAAAATCAAGACACTACAATTAAATTTATTCTTGATATATGTTAGATAGGAGCACGTTCGAGCCCAATTTTTATTTAAGAATGCATTTTGAAATATTAGATTGATAGAAAATGTGCGGTTAAAAAATAAGGAAAAATGTTTGGTTTTGTTTAATATTATTTTATTTAATAATGAGTGGTTGAAAAGAAGAGAGAAAAAAAAATGTATTTTGAAAATAATGGGGATCAAACAAGAGCTTAAATTGTTTGCTTGCCAGAATTTCATCGATGCGACTACGGTACATTTTTTCACGACACGCTAAGTTTTAAGTATACGTATTACGATTCATTAACTTCTTTATATTGATTTTTAGTATCGGCATCAATACCAAGAATATTCACGCTGTCAATGTTTTTTAACCATAAAATGGAGGAAACTATGGATGAGATAAACATGAAAAGTACAAATTACTTTTTTTGCATGTGGAGGTTGACAAAATTGCTTGCTTTTTGGAGGGTGGTTGATTAAGAAAATTAAATTTCTATTAAATATTGAGTTTTGAAAATGGAGTAGTTATGGGGTGGCACCATTACTTTTGAACACTAAACATTCTATAATCCTACATGGAATTCCATTTCATGTATATACAAATATTTAAATAGATTATAGATCCCATCATCAATGTATAATGGACCAGAAATGCTATTTGTACAACCCGAGTTTCACAGTTCGAGTCATAGCCCTCTCACAAAACGGTGGGGCCCGTCCCTGAATGTGATCATTTTAATCGCGAGCCTCACCCCTGAATGTGAGAGGGCTGTGACTCGAGCTGTCACCCGAACTGTATAACATTTTTCATAATGGACCAAATTACAAATTATTTTACTATCCCTACACAATATCTTATTATCCACCAATGTACTATATTATATTGACATTAGTGACCTTTTTTTAAAATTCTTCCTTTGGATTTTACTCGATCTTTTGTTAAATATAGAGACAATTGTTATCAAGTAATAATGTAATCGCGGTTGTGAGATCACGACATCTTCGTTTTCATCGAACATTTCCAAAAAGACAGCAAAATATTCGCTTGGAATCATATTTTCGTATTGTCATTCTATTACAATTAATTCGATCCAAGTTTTAAGTAGTTTTTATTTTTATTTTGGCCACAAATTGGGCTCATTTGGTCCCCCACCCCACCCATATCATTTCGCACCTTTCGTGGTTCACTTGAGCAAGAAAAGAGAAGAAAATGAAAGTTCAGAAGGAGACGTGATTTTTTTCTGTCCCCCATATCACCCATCAACCCAACTCACCTATTGGATAGCTATTGTGTTTTTTTCATGGACCAAATTGCCCTTCAATATAGTTTTTTTGAGTAATGTTATTTTTACACGAGGGTATTCAAAATGATGACATGGAAGGAAGAGAAAAATTATAATAACTGAATAAAAAATGTTAGTGTAACAGGGTCGGTGGACGACCAAAAAACAAGGGGTCGAGTTGGCCCTTGATTTTTGCTGTTGCAATTCTGATCAATGGCCGAGATGAAGCCACCTCGGCCCCTTGTTTTTTGGTCAGTCACCGACCCTGTCACTGTAGCGCGGCTGTAACTGAATTTCTTTTATTTTCGTTTCTTTTTCTCTCACTCTCTACCATGTCATCATTATGTATATTACTTTAATTATTTTTAGTAACACCCATCCCAACTCAGGTCACCGACTAGTAAAATTTCGCTCTTACCACTTGAGCTTAGACTTTATTTCCTCTTCGATACATATTTTTTAATTTTCACTTTAATGATTTTTCGAGGTACATATTTCCATGTTAATAATTAAAGCTCAATAAAAGATGGTTTTTGTGTAATGTATTAGTATGGACATAGTGGCATAGATTATGGCACTACTTCTCCCTAGTTGTAAGGACAACTAGAAGTACAATTATCATTACAAGTGACTAATACTTATTTAAATTTAAAATCAAATTCTGTCCATACTTTTTACAAGTGCATGTTCACAATTATTTATATTCGACCAAACTACTTTTCATTTGTACATTTAGTAGAACTCACAAGTACTATATATTTATTTATCACTCATTTTTATTTATTTATAATTTAAATCGATTATAAACAACTTTCAAATATGCTTAGATTTTCGAATTCAAATAAAAGAAGAACATTGTTGTAGATGTCGCATCTTTGACAAAAAGTTCTTGATAACATTTTGTCGGGACCAGACTTACCCCTAGTCATACCTACATTAGTAGATGTAACATTGCACTTAACTGAGTCTTGAAAATGAAATCACGTACCGACTCGGAGATCTATAAAAAGTTATACAATTCCATATTTGTTAATAAGATTAAAGAAAACATGGGTGATTTTGGTAATTCACTATTTGGCATTTGCCCATGGCCTATACACAGACTGCACAGTAACACTACCGCCCCGCCCCACCCTCGCACAACCCCCTCCCCCCCCATCTGGTTCACATGCACTCATTCCATTTGTTCTTTAAGAACCAAGACAAAAGCTCATCTGATTCATATTAGAGACATCTCTCTCTCTTCTCTCTCTCCAATTCTTGGCTCCTCAGAATTCATCACTGGATATGATATGATGTAATTTACCCTTTTTCTGAACAAAAACAAATCCGACCGTTGAATTGCCACAGCCTCATCCTCTTTGCTCTTTTCTTCCCAGTGAATAAATTCCCAGATATAAACACATTTCTTTACACTACTCTTTCTTTGTGGGCTGCATATATTTATCTTTTTCTCTGTTTTTTCCTGTGTATTTTCATGGCTTCTACACAAATTTTTAATGCAAATGAAAATGGGAATGAAGTTAACAGGCAAGATATTCAGAGCGCCATTGCTAAAGCAGTGGAGCTTAGAGCACTTCATGCTGCTCTTTTACAGGGAAAAAATAGCCCAACAAATTTAAGGTTCCCTTCTGCTTCTCCTGTTTCTCATTCTCGCCATGCTTCCCAGTTTTCGGCTCAAGATTATCCGGTTTTTACCCCGGTAAGTTTTTTTTTTTTTTCATTTTCACCATTTTCTTTGTGTTGATATGTGATTTTTGTGCTTTAAATCCACACTGTTTTCGTTAAACATAATATGTTCCTTCTACTGTACAGAAGATTTGAGCTTGGGAATCTATTTTTTCTCTCCCAAAACATGGTTGTGTGCTTAAAAGTTACTTTTTTTTTTTAATCGACAAACTTAATTTACTTTTAAGAAAGTAACTTTTGACCACAACCGAACAAGCTAATGTGCTCCATAATGTCAGTTTTTAGACTAGCTAACATTGTATAGTGCAAAAGTCCCGAGTCGTTAAGTACTAAATTAAAGTCAATGAATGTGTCTCCTCTGTTAGAGGTGGCTATATGCATAGATGAAGTGGTTAAACACACCAACAAAAGAATTTTTCACGATTTCATTTTTTGTCAATGAATTTTGTGTTTTTTGAAGCTAAATGTTGATGGAGGTCATGAAATTAGTGACAATTACAGAACAAAGATTTCTCATTTCGACCATATTCAATTTTTAATAAACACGGTCAAATCTTTTACATTTAAAGATAATCTTTAGCATCACTTGTGTTGTATCAAATGAACTTATTTTGGCTTAATGGAACAGGAAATTTTTTTCAACTCTACTCAATCTCATAATTAAGTTACTGTAATAAATTTAGTCAACTCTGACTTCTTTATAGTTCAGACTGCCTTAATCTTCAGTTACCACCCCCCAGATCTGTGTTCTTGCATATTTTGGCCCTTTTCTCTTTGTTACATAGTGTGATAATCTTCAATGTAACGTGTTTTTAACGACAATGTGAAACGCTAACAGAGTTATGACGATGAACCATTACCGGGGTATCAACAAGTTATGTTTGAGAATCGAAATTATGCTGAAAGTTGGGGAGATTACGCATTAGGAGGGGCAAATGCCGATGAAGCCATATTGTCGGATTGTAGAACAACGAATGCATCTTCGAGAAAAGGATTTCCCTCTGAATTTGTACACTTGGAACCAAATATATGTGCAGCCGAAGATCAATATTCTGTCACAGGTTCTTGCATTCATAACATTGGCATGCTTAGATTATCCCCAGGACCCAATTACTGCAAGTCAAGGCGAAACAGTTTGGGAGACCTTAAATCAGTATCATCTTGTAACAAATGTATGCCTGCCACAATTATTACTGAGACAGATGGTCCGACTAAAAATGGAAAGAAGTCTAATATCGTCGTACCATTGACAGATTCACACGCCTCTGTTCATTCCCAGCCGAAAAACAGAGGGCTTAATTTGTCATGGTTGTTTTCTAGGATGAAGAAGAAGAACAAGAATGTGTATTCACCAAATCGAATGCAATCTGAGGATGTTTCCCAAATTCTCAAGGACTTGGGGATGGTATCAGTCGAGACATTGAAGAAAGAGTTGATGGAAGCAAATGAGAGTCGAGATGCAGCCTTAATAGAAGCCACAGAAATGAAGTCGTCACTGGTGCAGCTAAGCCAGAAACTCGAGTATTTAGAAACTTATTGTGAAGAACTGAAGAAGGCATTAAGACAGGCAGCCGAAACTAAAAACTCTCAGCCCGTTGAAAAACTTTGGAATCTTCCACAAAGAGGGAAATCAGTTGATGGTAATACAGAAAATTCGATGCCAGTAAGTGAGGAAGTTATGGTCGAGGGATTTTTGCAGATAGTATCCGAGACAAGACTATCAGTGAAGCAATTCTGCAAGACTCTCGTGGGAAAGATCAAAGAGACTGATCACACTCTGCTTGAAAATTTGAACTCATTGCTTCAACCATACAATTTGTCTCTTAATTCCAAGTACTCTAAAGCCTTGTTATACCATTTGGAAGCCATTATAAACCAATCACTCTACCAGGACTTTGAAAATTGCGTGTTCCAAAAGAATGGCGCGCCAAAGCTTTTAGACCCTCAACTAGAACGCGAATCACACTTTCAATCGTTTGTTGCATTGAGAAATCTGAGCTGGAACGAAGTACTAAGAAAAGGGACGAAATATTACAGTGAAGAGTTCAGTATGTTTTGTGATCAGAAAATGAGTAGCATTATTACGACTCTTGGTTGGACTAGGCCATGGCCCGAGCAGCTTCTTCAAGCTTTTTTTGTCGCTGCAAAATGCATCTGGTTGCTGCATTTACTTGCGTTTTCATTCAACCCGCCTCTGGAAATTCTACGAGTTCAAGAAAACAGGCTGTTTGATCCACATTTCATGGAGGACATTTTTGCAGACAGACAAAGATCACAGGGTGCAAGCAGGGTTAAGGTTATGGTAATGCCTGGTTTCTATGTTCATGACAGAGTTCTTAGATGTAAGGTTCTTTGCAGATATAAATCACTAGCATAGTTAGTATATTTCAATTCTTTCCTTTTTTGTTTTACGATAAGGGTTAAGTTTCGAGTAGATTTAGCAACGAACTAAATAGAGTGGTAAAAAATGATTCATGTAGTTGACTTTGAATTTATTTCGAAATAAGACTTTATGGTTTCTAGTAGTGTCCATAGGGGTAACCAACTTGTAATTTTTACTTGGTGATGATTATGCTTCAATGAGTTTCTTCACTCGTTGATTAAGTTGATGTGATATTCGCCTCTTTAGATGGTGCAATATAAATCCCATGAATTGTCCCCTTTAAGAAAACAACTCAATTGAATTTTGTGTAAATAAAACTATAATTTAACTTTGCTAAAAATTCCTCGACTTCTTCACCTCCACTGGACAAGGTCGAGTGCAATATGTAACAAACTTTAACTAAAAATATTACTCAACTCTTAGCATCTTTCTCAATAGGGCAGTGTCATTTCCACCAATTTTTGAATAAACAATTTCACTTGACTCTAGTACCCTTATTTGACTTGGTCAAGTTGCACACTTCATGTTTCACTAGCAAACCCACAGAATAATCAAAGTGTTACAAAATGAAAGATGACTATTACTGATGAAAGCAATGAAAATAGAAGGGAAAAGGTTGTGCTTTTCCTTTCATGGAGCTAGGTCATATTATACAATTCTTAGCCTTAGCTCAAAAGATAGAAAAAAATTGGCTACAGCGTAACCTTTGGAAACACCCCTCTTAACATCAAGAAACTCGAAAATCTCTTCCTCCAGTCTCCTCCTCCTCCATCAAATTTGTCGAAATCCCTTTCAACAGCACAGAACATGGAATCCCTTCTTGGGGCCGAAAACTCAGATTCACTTCTGTTGGGAATTAATATAGCAATTCAGACACCAAAGTCTCAGTTCACCAGAGTTAAAACATGCTCAAGACTAGAATCAATGTAATGACAGAATTCAATACATGCACCAGAAATCAGAATAGAATGTAGTAATTAAACATATGCCATAACCCTTTCTGAATACACATAAACCATAGATCTCAGAACCTAGAATACAATATGTACCATAGCATTTATAGAGAAATACATATAGGCAACAGAACTGAAACAGAGAACATAAAACCATATAAATTGGACAGAACTTTACTCTCCTTTGTTCGGCCGAAGCTCCAGTTCGTCTTGCTGTTTCGGCTGCAATGTAGGCTCAGGAACAGCCTTCCACTGCTTGCAAATCACCTTCCAGAGAGAGCTAGAGAACCGGCTAGAACATCCCCTCACTTGGCTTGGATCATCGATCAAGAGATCTCCCAAAATAGCCAAGATTCCTACCAACAATCAAACCTAAAGCCAACAGAGAAACCAACACCCTTTGCCACTATTTCAGGCCAAAGAGAACACCAAGGTTTCTTCAATCAAATGGGCTTCTAGGCGAAGTAGAGGAAAGGTGAAAACCACACAGAAGAGAGAACCGACTAGAGAGCAGGGAGAGTCTTTTTCAAAGAAGAGGGAATCGTATATTGGAAGCCAAAACCCACGTGAAGTGGTGCCAAAAGTCAAGCCAAGAAAATATCTCAAGCAAGATCAAATTCCAGCCATTGATCTCAATCCAATGGTCAAAATAGAAACCGGCCCATATGTGTTAAGAGAGCCACATAGGCCCAATTAAGCCCACAACTTCCTTACGACCTTCTATTCACCCTCCTCCAAGCCACTCTGAGTTTCAAAATTACATTCAAGAAGTTGCTATTTGATATTATAGCCAGTTTGTAAAATAACAGACTTTTTATATGGATGGACAGCTGATGTAGCCCATGAATTTGGAATTTTTCATTCAATTTTCAGTGCTACAGGTGGATTGTGGCTGAATTTACCTCACAAGAACGTTGATACCGTGTTTGGTAAGGAGGATTCAACAATACTATATACTATTATTGAAGAAAACACATAAATTTTGTTCTTTATACTGTCCAGCCGTATTTAGTACAGCGTGTGCTGAATTTCTTCTGCCTGATTTTCCTGAAGCTGGAAAACATCATGTTACTCATTCGTTCCAGGCTATGTTAATATCGTGAGAGAATGATCCTTTTACAGAATACCACTGGAAAAATCATCCAACTTGGTCTAATTCTGATGCTCTTCTTCTCAATACAGTAAAAGAACTCGACAAACTTGAATTGACGTGTTTTCATCGTAATCAGGCATTCCAGTTTATGCGATTGGTACAAGCGAAGGAACTAAGGTCTCGTCAATGATCTAAATATGTGTTAAGGCGGTATTATCTTATCGGAAAGATAATTCAATGAAATGACGTAAAGAAAGAACGAATTCCCATAAGTTATTAAATTGCAGATCCACTTACAAAGAGTTGTCGCGGGATAAACATGATCGTCATTTAAACTCTTATGGTATAAGATACATAAGTGATTGGATCTAGTGCAAGTGGGAGTTTGTAAGTGTTATACCTTAGGTCCAATCAACTTTAGATATAAACACTTTAAATATATATAATTGATGCATGTATGGCAATATCTATTATTTAATTGAATTAATATTCTAATAAATTAAATAATAGAATCCGTAGATTCAAGTTTTGTGATTTGTTAATCACAAGGAGTTGTGATTGTGAGATACAAATTACAAATGATCGAATCTTAAATCGTCAGTGGTCGAAGTAATAACAAGATACGGATATCGTTATTACGGATAGATCATCGCCTGTGGCATTTTTACTTGTGAAGTAAATAGCTGATCTCACAAGTTAAAGTATGGTGACACTTGAATGAACACGTAGATGTTTTGTTATAGAACAAAACATTGGAGACCCGTTGGGAGATTCCACATGGATAACTATCTGAGTGTTAGTGGTTAATCTCTAACGTTCGATAGTGGAATTGGTCCTTTGACTTGAGGTCGTCATAGTACCTTATATGGGGACAGTCATACTTTGATGGTGTTGGATGTTACTCTACTAGGGTCACTAATACAGCATCGTTAGGGTCTGTCAAGAATCATATGAAGGTTGTGAATTATCAATAGAGGATTTGTCGCTCTTAGATAGTAAGAGATTATGATCTATATATTATCCAGTTAAGTTAATAATGAAATCCTTGGCCAAGGTAAACTCATAAGTTGGAAAAGAGTTTTCGACTTACATTGACTTAACAGTGGGATAAAAAATATGATCGATAGTTGAGATTGACACGTATCCATATCTCATTATTGATTGGATCATATTGACGAAATGATTATAATTTCACGGTAAACGAACAAGTTTGGTTTGTCACATTACATGACATTTCTCATCACATGTATTGCCCTGACACATTGCTAGATGTCAATCTGGGACGACGAATGTGAATTAGTGATAAATTAAAATGGATGTTTTAATGTATCGACATTTTGATTAGATCAAAATAATAATTCACGACGTTAGGTATCGTGATCGGTAACCTAATGGGTCACACACAAAAGAGAACCAGAAGAATGAGATTTATCAATTAATTAATTGACAAGTGTTAGATAATTAATTAATGGATTGCTTATTAATATGCTCGAATTAATTAATTGGATTAATTAATTCATGGATCGGGTTTAGTTTCAAGAGGGGCCAATCCCATTTGAGCTTATATTAATATGATACTAGAGTTTGTAAACTGCATGGAATTTTCATTATTCTTGCTAGTACAAGAAAAGTAAAACCCTAGCCGTCATTCTTATTCTCTGTGTGGATCATCATTGGAGGCTGGACAATTGGACAGTTTGGATTGGAGATCGTGATCATTGGAGTTCGAGAATTAGCAAAAGAGTTTGCAGAATTCATCAAAGGTATTATTCTCAACACAGTTTCTATCTAAATACAAAGTAGATCCGTGGTGAGAATTGAAAAATTATTAATTTTTCGCTGTACATATTAAGTAAATTCCCAACAATTGGACCAGTATTATTAACAGAAAATGTTAGATCATCAAGACCTGGTAAAGAAGCAACAAATAGTCATGTTAAATGTATCGAATGGCTCCATAAGAAAGGAAGAAAATTCTGTATCACACATATGCTTTGGATCACAGAATACAATCTTAGCTTCGCATAGGATGCAATTAGCAAAAGCCCTTGAATCTTGATGCTAATAGAAGAAATTTCACATGGGTTGTTAGGCCACCATTAGGATTCGACATAAATGCAAAATTCGTAGGAGAAGAGTGGCTACCGGAAGGGTTTTCGGGATCAAATTCGGGATCAAGATTGTGTCGACTTCCTCATAGAAGCAGTCGGGTGTGAATATAGAATTCAAAGAGATCAAATAGGAAATTACACTTGAAATCATAACACTATAATGAAATGTACATTTACTTGGTCTCCGATGGAACTAACTTCTAGTAGCGTGTCTCATTAGTGAAAAAAAAATGATAGATGAGATGAAATGTAAATAACTCGTCCTCTTTCTTCAAAAGAAAGGACCCTTTCGATTCTACATATGTTTGAAATAATTTTGTCTTTTATAAGACACCCTACAAAATAAAATCAACATATATGTGAAAATCTTTTTTTAAAAAAGAAAAATCAATTTAATTGCAAAATAAATATTTTTTAATATTAAAAATCATAAGAGAGACAAGTGTACACAGATATTATTATAGATACACATAAACGTGTAAGTCAGAAGTGTTGGTTAACGTCAAAATGCTTTCCCACATTTCGGCTTCTCTCTCGCTTTCTTCTTCTTCTCCTCTCGCCGCCACTACTTCGCCCATAGCCCTCCGTCGCCTCCGCCCTTCTCTCTCCAAATATCTAAGGCCGAAACTCCGTTCCCACCCCTTCAAATTATTACTGAAACGCCACTCCATATTTTCAATGGAGACCAACCCTTCAACAACTGCCTCTGTCTCCGTCGATTCCATTTCAGATGATAAGAAAAATGAAACATTAGAAAATAATAGTGTCATAAATAGTAATAGAGTGAAATTGAAACTGGAAGAATTGAGGTGGGACAACTCATTTGTTCGGGAACTTCCTGGTGACCCAAGAACAGATTTAATTCCACGACAGGTTCCTTTTTTTTAAATTTAATTTTACTTATTCAATAGTTTCTGGGTTTATCTATTTCTTTTGAATTTTATGGTGGTGATATTTTAATTTTGTCTGTGCTTCTCCGGCTATTTTTATAAAGAATCTTGTAGGAATTGTCACATCTAAGTGTGATACCCCAGATTTTTTTATTTTTGGTTCCCTCAGTTAGGAACAATTGAGCAATGAGGTCAATTAATATTTGGGGTTAATTATTTTCAATGCACATGTAAATAGCTTTTGGTGGGATTTCTTCTGCAATAATGAAAACAGAAACTTTGGGTTCCAATGCTCATTACTATGTTGCTTTCCTTAAAGACTATTTGTCCTCACCAATATTGAATGCACAAGGGATACTAAATATTCCTCCACGATCAGGGGCGGATCTGAGCACGAGCGGCCGTTGACGACCGCAATAATAACCAATGTCGTGAACTGAAATTACTTATATCGTAGTTCAAATTGTAAATGTGGTTGTAAGTTATCTACTAATGTTTATCGAATAACAATTTGAATTTTAAAAATAGATCCAATTATTTACTTTCTTTGTTCGATTTGTTAATAATTTCAGTCTAATAGAAAAAATGACTTTTAAAAGGTCCAATTTTAGTTAAAAAGTTTTAAAAACAATGGGGGAATATATCAATTATTTGATAAAAGAACATATAGAGTGTGTTTGGTAGAGATTAAAATCGGATTAAAATTTGTAATCAATAGAGAATAATTTCATATCACATTACAAGGAGAGAATACACAATATATATACAACCGAGAGATCTAAATAGGGAAAGAGAATCCCTATAATTACGCTATAATTATTTATGTTAACACTCCCCCTCAAGTTGGAGCATAGATATTCATCATGCCCAACTTGTTACAAATATAATCAACCCGAGTCCCATTTAGAGCTTTAGTGAAAATATCTCCTAATTGTTCTCCAGTTTTCACATATCCTGGAGAGATTAAATTTTGCTGTATTTTTTCACGGACGAAATGACAGTCAATCTCAATATGTTTAGTTCGTTCATGAAACACGGGATTAGACGCAATATGAAGAGCAACTTGATTGTCACACTACAACTTTGTTGGTGTTGAAGTCTTAAGACCAACTTCAGTTAAGAGTTGATATATCCACATGATCTCACACACAGACTGTGCCATAGCTTTATATTCTGATTCTGCACTGGATCGGGACACAACATTTTGCTTTTTGCTTTTCCATGAAATCAAATTTCCTCCAACAAAAACACAGTAGCCAGTAGTGGATCTTCGGTCAACCTTAGAACCTGCCCAATCTGCATCTGTGAAACATTCTATGTGAGTATGTCCATAATTTTTGTATAGTATCCCACGTCCAGGAGCTCCCTTTAAATAATATAGGATTTGTTCCAAAGCTGCCCAATGGTGCACTATTGGGGAAGACATATATTGGCTTACAATGCTAACAGAATACGCAATATCAGGACGAGTTACTGTAAGATAGTTCAATTTTCCAACCAGTCTTCTATACTTCTCAGGATCCTCAAACAAGTCACCATCTTTGGTAAGTTGCAAATTAGGAAGCATCGGAGCACTGCTTGGCTTAGCTCCCAATTTTCCTGTCTCAGTTAATAAGTCAAGCACATATTTTCTCTGAGATAAGAGGATGCCTTTCTTGCTTCTTGTTACCTCAATTCCCAAGAAATACTGCAACGCCCCTAAATCTTTCGTATGAAATTGGGTGTGGAGAAAGGACTTTAGAGATGAAATTCCCAAAGTATTACTACCAGTAATAACAATATCATCAACGTACACGACAAGGAGAATAATGCCGGATTCAGATTGGTTGTAGAAGACTGAGTGGTCAGACTTGCTCTTCTGCATTCCGAACGTTTCCACTGCATGACTAAATTTTCCAAACCAAGCACGTGGACTCTGTTTCAAACCATATAATGACTTTCGAAGATGACACACTTTCCCACACTCCCCCTGAGCAACAAACCCCGGAGGTTGCTCCATATAAACCTCCTCCGAAAGATCACCATGTAAAAATGCATTTTTAATGTCTAATTGATGTAAAGGCCAATTATGAGTAGCTGCCATAGAAATGAATAAGCGAACAGACGCCAACTTGGCTACAGGAGAGAGAGTGTCAGAATAATCCACACCATAAGTCTGTGCATAACCCTTAGCCACAAGACGAGCTTTAAGCCTAGCCACGGAACCATCAGAATTGACCTTGATTGCAAACACCCACTTACATCCAATAGCCTTCTTTCCTGCTGGTAAGTTTACTAAGTCCCAAGTACCATTAGCATCTAAAGCATTCATCTCCTCTATCATAGCTTCATGCCAACCAGGATGGGAAAAGGCTTCATGAACAGTTTTCGGAAGTGACAGAGATTCGAGAGAAGCAATGAAAGAACAAGAGGAAGAAGACAAGTTATCATAAGTAACAAAAGAGGAAATAGGATAAGTGCACTAACGTTTACCTTTACGGAGGGCAATCGGTAGAGTAAGATCACTAGACACTGGATCCGAAGCCGAAGAAGAGATGGGCGCCGAACACGCATCATGAGGGTGACGTCTTCTGGAATAGACCTGGTAAATGGGTGGTGGTGGCGTTGGCGGGGTGGGAACAACATGTTGAGAAGTAATATTAGTTGCCCGAGAAATGACATGATAAACTAACAGATCATCATCCTCCCCCTTATTGAAAGAAATAGAAGAAGTAGGAAAGAAAGGGATATGTTCCAGAAATGTAACATCAGCAGAAACAAGATACTTGTTAAGATTCGGACAGTAGCACCGATACCCCTTTTGGAGACGAGAGTAACCCAGAAAGACACATTTTAAGGACTTTGGATCCAATTTTGTGACCTGGGGGCGAACATCACGAGCAAAACAACTACTACCAAATATTTTAGGCTCAATAGAGAACAATGGTTTGGTAGGAAAAAGGACACTATAAGGAGTCCCACCATGAAGAACAGATGAAGGCATCCGATTAATCAAAAAACAGGCCGTGGATACCGCATCAGCCCAAAACGGTTTAGGAACATGCATTTGGAACAAGAGTGCCCGTGCTGTCTCAAGAAGGTGTCTATTTTTTCTTTCAGCCACACCATTCTGAGATAGTGTGTGGAGTGTCAACGCATGAGGATTGGTGTAAAATACCATTCTGAAGCATGAAAGTTTGAAAAGCATTGGAAAAGTATTCTTTGGCATTATCACTTCGCAATATTTGTACAGAAACATTAAATTGCGTTTTAATTTCAGCACAAAAGGCACTAAAATGAGAGAATAATTCAGAACGATTTTTCATTAAATAAAGCCAAGTCACACGAGAGAAATCATCAACAAATGTAACAAAATATCGAAAACCAGTTTTGGACACGACAGGACATGGACTCCAAACATCTGAATGAACTAGCTCTCTTATTGACTCGAGGAACTGAACACAAACGATGATGTTTTGCGAACTGACACGACTCACAATCTAAAGACGACACACTCTGAAACTGAGGGTATAATTTTTTCAACAAAGATAAAGACGGATGGCCCAAGCGACAATGCACTTCAAACGGAGTTAAGACACTTGAACATGCAATGGGTTGGGGCACCTGGGTATCCAGAAGATAGAGACCGCCTGATTCATGTCATTTACCAATAATCTTCTTCGTCATAAGATCCTGAAAGAGACAATAATCAGGAAAAAATGAAATGCAACAGTTTAGGGCTCGAGTAAGTTTGCTCACAGACATTAAATTGAAAGAGAATTGTGGTAAACTCAAAACGGAAGATAAAGACAGTAATGGGGTTGGGTTAATAGTGCCAGAACCAAGAACAAAAGACGTAGAACCATTAGCTAAAGTAACATGGGAAGTAGACATGTGTGACTGAAAAGTGGAAAAGAGATTAGGATTACCTGTCATATGATCTGTGGCACCAGAATCAATGACCCATTTCGAGGAAGATGAAAGAAGGCATGTATCGGGTTTACCTGTCTCAGCAATGGCAGAGATGGAGTGAGACGAATTCTTTAATGCTTCTTGGTACTGGGTGAATTGAGCAAATTTATTTGCAGAAATCTGTATGGTCCGCTCAGCGGATGAGATAGGTGTAGCAGTAGTAGCTGCAATGTGAGCCGAGTGTGGCCGCGAAGATTTATTGAGCAATTTTCGGCACGTGCGTTTGGTATGACCCTGTTCATGACAATAATAACATACAACCCCCTGTCATCCGGACTTCGAATCTCTGGACTGCCTGTACCTTCGTCCTTTGTCAGACCTCTGTGACCGATAAGAGCACTAGAAGACGGAACAGAGGAAGCACCAAAAGCACTAGTATCTGTGCGAAGTACTCGAGTAAAGGTCTCTTGCAGAGAAGAAATTTCAGCACTAGATAGAATTTGGGATTTAGCAGGTTCAAATTGAGAATGGAGACCAGCTAGAAAACTCATTACAGCCATTTGCTCCCGCTGAGCCTGCTGAACTTTCACATCGGAGCTAAAAGGTAACAAAACATTTAGTTCTTCGTATGTCTTCTTAAAATTCATAAAATAAGCCTGAAGAGATTGATCTTGTTGTTCAGCACGGTAAAAACCCTTACAGACTTCGTAAATACGTGACACATTCCCTTTCCCAAAGTACATAAATTCCAAATACTCCATCAACTCCTTAACATACTCACAGTGATTAATCAAACCGACTATCTCAGTGTCGATGGAATTCCGAATTTGTAAGAATAATCGAGCATCATCTCTTAGCCAAGTGTGGGTAGTATTATCCGTTGGCGGATCTTCTGTAAGATGACCAGCCATAGAGATACTTCGCAAATAAATCCTAACTGTCTTACACCAATCTAAATAATTTGGACCAATCAACCTATGTTCATTGATTTTGGACATTACGGGAATGACATCAGTCACAACCAAATTCTTTTGTTCGGTAGCCATAGAAGTTAGAACGAAAACCCAATATCCAACTTAACACCCCTATGCAAGTCCACAAAAAAGGAAAGGCCCAAAAGAAACACAAATGATTGAGGCCCAGTTTAAGAAAACAAACCAAAGAAGAACCAGTGCCCACCAAACAAAAGTGAACCCAAACAAAATTGAGCCCACCAAATTGAAATACTGAACGAACCGAACCTGAAAGCACCAACTAGAGAACTGAACGGACTGGAAGCGTGATCCACTCACAGAGGCAGCCTTAACTCCCAGAAACGTTGGCGACGATGATGAAGGTGCGACCGGTGGAAGCTTACAAGGGCAACACACCGAATCGAACAAATCCCCAACCCCTTCCAAATATACCAACAAAGAAAGAATAGGAAGCACCTACCTAAATCCAAATCGAATGACCCAGACAATGAGGTAGGTGCAATTGCTTGGACAGATCCCACCGGAAGCGGTGAACTCAGAGACCGACTGCAATTGCCAGACCAATTTCCCAAATCGACGACACTGGAAAGCAAAAACTGTAACCTTGGAGACACTAGATGCCCACGATGCCGGCGCCAGGAACTCAAGAAACCAAAGTTACGACCACAGGTTTGAGAAATAGAATTCTAGGTCTCTGATACCATGTAATCAATAGAGAATAATTTGATATCGCATTACAAGGAGAGAATACTCAATATATATACAACCGAGAGATCTAAATAGGGAAAGAGAATCCCTATAATTACGCTATAATTATTTATGCTAACAAAATTGAAAAACTAGCCGTTATTGTTGATTTTTATTAGACGAGTGAGATCCAATAACGGCTATATTTTCAATTTTAATTGGATTTTAATCCGAACCGAACACGCCCATAGCATTTTCTTTCATATTTTATAATGCCAACAGAGTTCACAAGTTCGAATCCTCTAATTGCACCAATTTTTATAATATCTATATGCTCCAAAATGGTGAGAAATTTTAACCTAAAATAATTGCCAAAAAATTGCTATATTTGAGAGTCGAACCTAAGACTTTGGTATACTTGTAAGGTGCTTAGACCAACTGAACCACGGAAGCCTTTGTGAAAAAACGGAAATCATGGATATATATTCAAATCATAAATACATTGACAAAAAAAAATAAAATTGAATACCGGCGAATTCAACACGGGCGGCCGCCAGAGCTCGTCGGGTGCTGGATCCGCCGGTGTCCATGATACTATGCTTTGAATGTTGATGGTGATAGTGCACTTATTGTAAGAAACCCGAATACCAAGAACTCGATAAACTTATACAAGAGGCCTTATATCTCCTCCTTCCAGTATAACAGTATATAAATTTTGATTTTGAAATGAAAAAGGAATTAGAAAAGATGAATGCAAGAAAGCGTAGAAGAAGGTAGAGAGAATAATCTGTAATTCTATCAATTTTTCACACCTCAAATCAAAGAAAAATTGATTCTATATATAGATTCATCTCACGCCCTTTCAAATAGGTTAAAGCCATTCATAGGTGTCTTTTAGATTGGAAATATATCAATTATAACTGAAAAAAATTGAATTTTAACAGCCAAAGATCAGTTAGAGATGAAAAGACACCATTGGTGTCACTTGGCAGCACGGGTGCACTAGCAGGCAGTGATTTGCTGGCCAAGCAGGCTAGCACAGACAGCATACCTTCGCCAACCAGGCAGAGCAGGGCCAGATTTTTAGCTAACTCCTCCATCTCTTGTCTCGTCTTGATCCAAAATGCTTCTTCATCTTTCCTTCTTTGAATTAATCTCCAGTGTGAAAACTGCATTCTTTTAAAAATCTCTTCTACAATAGCTTGACTTGATGATGTTTGTAACGCCTTTAGATTTATTTGGCTTATCCTAAGTAAGATGTGTAGGAATTCAATTTTGTGTATTTACTTATGATTAGTTTACCTCTATTTCCGAAGTTAATGACAATGCCATTTATCTTTATGGCATTTTGTGCAGGTATTGCATGCTTGCTATACTAAAGTGTCTCCATCTGTTGAGGTGGAGAACCCTCAGCTTGTTGCATGGTCTGATTCAGTTGCTGAGTTACTCGATTTGAATCCTAAAGAGTGAGTTGCTTCAGTTACCTGCATATATATCTTCGACCTTATTCAATACATTCTGCTTTCGCACGCGTTTCATAAACCTTTTCAACTTTTTTGACGATAAACTTGATCTCTTCATGCCTAATTGGTTCAGTATTTCAGATTCACTAGGCCTGATTTTCCACTGATATTCTCTGGAGCATCACCATTGGTTGGAGTGTAAGCATCATGTCCTTAGCATTTTAGATTATTTCAATTAATTTTTTCTAATGAAACTTTATTTACTCCATTTGACATGACTTCTGCAGGATGCCTTATGCTCAATGTTACGGAGGACATCAGTTTGGGATGTGGGCTGGTCAATTGGGTGATGGTCGTGCTATCACTCTTGGAGAGGTTCTGAATTCAAAGATGGAGAGGTGGGAATTGCAGCTTAAAGGTGCTGGAAAGACTCCTTACAGCAGGTTTGCTGATGGTCTAGCAGTCTTGCGAAGTAGTATCAGGGAATTTCTCTGCAGTGAGGCAATGCATTATCTGGGAATCCCGACAACGCGTGCGCTTTGTCTTGTGACAACTGGAAAATATGTCACGCGAGACATGTTTTACGAGTATGTTCTTGTATTCTATTTGTTTATATACTCCAGTTTGATACTTTATCTTCTGCTTCAACTTTGGTTATTCTTTAAGTTAGATAAGATGTTCTCAAGGAATTGAATGGAACAAGTTTCCATTGATGAACAAGGAACTTTTTATTCTACAATGCGAAGCATTTATCCTCAGACATATCTTTAAATTTTGACTTTATCTCACTTGAAGCCTAAATAATACAACCATGAATGGCATAGTCGAGACTGATAACATGTTATGGACACTGGATTCATCATGGCAAAGTAACTTTGAGTACTGCATGACTCGGTGTAGTGATTTAATCTCTCTATGAACTATTAGCTACGACACTGATAAGTTTGGGCTTATTCACATGCAGTGGCAATCCAAAGGACGAGCCAGGTGCAATTGTTTGTAGAGTTTCTCAATCGTTTCTACGCTTTGGTTCGTATCAAATACATGCATCCAGAGAGGATCTTGACCTTGTTCGTACTTTGGCGGACTACACCATTCGGCATCACTTCCCCCATTTAGAGAAGCTGAGAAAAAGCGATAGTGTTTCTTTCAGCATTGGTGGAGGAGATAATTCAGTTGTGGATTTAACTTCAAACAAGTATGCAGGTAATTGTAATTTTGAAGAATAAAATGTCATAATCACATTCTGAGCTGGAGAGTGAAAAATGTGGTGGATGCATGTAGTCATATTTTCTTGTTAATTTATTTTTCAGTGTTATTATTCATTCTCGCTGTCAATTTGTGATTCCCAAACATTCTTTGAATATTTTCTTGACATGGTTGGAGGCATTTGTTGAGGCCATGGACCAATTCAACCGTCTTTGTTTCAGAAAAAAAATAAAAAATGAAATAATTTAAGATGAAATGAGGGGGGGGATGTTTTAGATGCATGTCCGAGGAGTGGTTATTACATGTTGTCTGCTTATCTTTCTTTTCATTTGTCTTAACTAAATTGATCCTATGGAGTATGGACAGTGGCTGCAATTTAAATCCAAAGGACAACCTGTTCTTATATCTCATTGGCTGAACATTTTGCTTTCGTCTGTTTTATGTTCATTTAGACAATATACCACATCAATTTGTCTGATTATGGCTTTGAACTTTTGGAAATATCAGCTTGGGCTGTAGAAGTTGCTGAATGCACGGCTTCCTTGGTTTCAAGCTGGCAGGGAGTTGGTTTTACGCATGGAGTCCTGAACACCGATAACATGAGCGTGTTGGGACTTACGATTGATTATGGTCCTTTTGGATTCCTGGATGCATTTGATCCCCGTTACACCCCAAATACTACTGATCTTCCTGGGAGAAGGTACAGTTTTGCAAATCAACCTGATATTGGCTTATGGAATATTGCACATTTTACCACAACTCTTTCGACGGCTCAGTTGATAAATGATAAAGAAGCAAACTATGCCATGGAGAGGTATTTTAATGACTTAACCCGTTTAATTATTTTCTTTTGGATTGAATTTTTATTGACGTTCTATTTCCTCCACTGGCTAGATATGGGACCAAATTTATGGACAAATATCAGGCCATAATGACCAAAAAACTTGGTTTGCCTACATACAACAAGCAGTTGATCAGCGAACTTCTTAAAAACATGGCTATTGATAAAGTTGACTACACAAATTTCTTTCGGTCGCTTTCAAATACCAAAGCTGATCCTACCATTCCAGAAGATGAGCTGCTGATTCCATTGAAGGCTGTTCTGCTGGATATTGGTAAGGAGCGCAAAGATGCATGGACCAGCTGGGTGAAATCCTACATACAGGAGGTAATACGATACATTATATTTCGTTTTTATTTGCTAATCTTTATTGGGTTACTGTATTGTTAGAGGAATGCATTTTTAATAGTTAATATACACCCTCTTAAAATAAAACAGATGGTCACGCATAAATGCTTGCACGCAGCAATTTGCAAAGCATGCATCCTAAGCTTTCAGGTTTATATTCCAAATTCAGACGATCTTGACAAGTCAAAGGATTCAATTTTTATTTATTTTTGTGCGGGGTTGGTACTGCTAACTTTTAAACATTGATGAGAATGCACAATTCGTTGGTAGGATTGGGACCACTTGCTGCTTAAAATATTTTTTTGGTTTTTGAAATTATATAATCGAAAAAAGTGTACAAGTGGAGATTGTGCGGCTTCTTACTTAATCAATTTGGGTATTACTAGCACATTTTTCTGGCATATGCTGTTAGCGCAAAAGCCTCTGGAAATTTTAGGTCCCCTCCGATTTGCATTTCAGTTTAAAGTTTTGAGTTTTGAATTTATTTTCAGTTTTTCTGTTTTGAGGTCTGTTTTAAAACTGCAGAAAACACGTTTGGTTCGTCATTCTAAAAAACCTTCTCAAAACACAAAATTGGAAACACGTTTGGTTTGAAATTTTTAGAAATTGTTATAAAGCATTTTATTCAATGAATTTCGATTATTCAATAAAATAGAACAATTTTATGCTGATATATTATCAAGTAATATATACATTTTGAAGCTGGTTAATCTTACTATACTACTACAAAAATAAAATACAAATAAATTGACTTAGTAAAAAATAGGACATAAAAAAAATGATATGAACTGAGAATAATAGAAACCAATTTTATGCCATGCCGCCTCCTTTCGGGGTACTATGATTACATCTTTGTAACTTTTAATTTGTGCTTTGAAATTGGGTCTATTATATGGGTTCTGAAATTTTGAGTTCGATTGGGGTTGCGATATTGGGGCATTACATTAGCAGTGGTGAAAAATCGATGGAAGGTGGTGGTGGCATGGAAGGGAGAGGAGTGGGGTAGGTGGTGGTAGTGGAAGGGGGTTGTTCACGTGGTGGGTTTGGAGAAGAAGGCGACTTCCTTTTTTTTTTTTTGGGCCTTCGGTTGGGTTTGATATGTCATTGGAAGGAGTTAAATTACTTTTATTTCTCGTGCTTTGAGTATTTTTACTGAAAGCACTATAAATTTTGTTATAAATTTAATCTTGTTTTTAAAAATGCATTTTTATAAATATCAAACAAAACTAGTTTTGGGTGTTTTACAAAACAGAAAACAACAAACTAAACCCCCGTAGTTTTTAGAACCTAATGTGGTTACTCTGCTTCCCTTTGACGGAATAATATTTCCAACTCCTCTCCCCTGTTTCTTCTTTATGAATTGATGAACATCAAACTTCATACAGACAATGATTTGAGTATATGTTTCAGTAAAACCATGTGAAAACATGATATCCCAGTGCAACTTTATGGACACCATTTTTAGGCGAAGCCTTTTTTGGCATCTTGAAATTTTGTAACTTGTTTATTTACGCTGACACTTTTTTTTTTTTTTAAATTTAACCATATGCAGCTCTCTGCTAGTGATACTTCAGACGATGACAGGAAGGTCTCAATGGACTCCGTAAATCCCAAGTACATACTTCGAAATTATCTCTGTCAAAGTGCCATTGATGCAGCAGAATCTGGTAATTTTGAAGAGGTTCGTCAGCTGCTGAAAGTTGTGAATCGTCCATACGATGATCAACCCGGAATGGAACAATATGCACGCTTGCCACCCGCTTGGGCTTATCGTCCGGGTGTTGGAATGCTTTCTTGTTCTTCTTGAGTTGTTCAATGTATTTAGTGAGAAGTTCAGTAATCTGTAGATGAAGCCTGCAATTGGTTTAAATCTCTTTCCACACCTTTTTTTCCCACATATGGTTGTACAGTTGAATATGTAAACGTATGGAAATTTACTCTCGAGGAACAGGTGACGAAAAGTATTGTATGTAGTCGTCTTCAAATATATTGGTTTATGTAACCATTGGGATTGGAGTTTTTGAAAGAATTAGATAAATAAATTTCTACTTCTGTTTTTAGTGTATGTGTATTCATATTCTTCAATCAAAACACATTATGTACGTGAGTACACAACGAACAAAGCATAGATTAAACATTCAGCAAACGAAAAAAGCATAAAATAAACTCGGAAGATCAGAAGTACAATGAAACATGAATAGAAATCAATGAAACTCATGAGGCACACTTCTGATCTAATCATCGTAGATCTGGTCACTCGTCTTGTGAGAGATGTGTTCTGATCATAAGTTAGTGTACTCGGGATTACTATAATAGCAAGAGAGATAGAATGCAGGTGGGGGTGGTGGGATCGTGGGGGAGCCCTCACTAGGAAAGACGAGATGCCATATCACATCCTGCTGAATTTGTAAGCATACTCGTACGCAAGTTGGGCAGCAGAACTCAATCTACAGTACTGGTCTGTATTTATGAAGACAGATAACGAGAAAACAACACATGTACATGCATTTGTAATTTACTACTAGATTTTGTACGTTTGATTACTCAAGAAACATCTTTCGTTAAGCATCAGTCCATTTTTCAAATGTCTGTCGTGTCTGTGTATGGATTCTGCTTATGCCTATCTAAATTCTAGCCACCTAGTGGAACGATATGAATCATTTGTTACCTTTTAAGTTGCTTTTAAGGTATCATCTTTTGTCTTTACAATTGCAAGACTCCTCTAATGCCAATAGGAAGAAGGCAACTAGATGCCCTACTTAAGCTGCAAACTAACGGCTGATAGAAAACTACACCAGATTACCGATGCTCTACTTTCCTTACAACACTCTTGAGAAAAGGCGAACTGATCACAGTTTGTTGGTTCCTGTTGACTGACAAAAAATGAAGCCCAATTGAGAAATCCAGGATAAAGGCCCAAATAGGACCATTAGTGAATGTAGTGGAGGCCCACGAACAAAGTAACATCATCGCTCAAGCTTGCAAGACGCCCAGAATCTGAGCGAATGGAGTGTCTTACGATCGCCCAGAGTGATGATCCCGTTCTCGCCCAAACCCTCGAGTCGCCCAGGAACTGAGCGAATCTAAAGTATTATAGTTATCCAATACAGCAGTTATTGAAGCAGTTATTGAACAACTTTATCACACACCACGATCCGAGAATTTCGAGAGAAAGGACCCCGAATTAAACACTCTCAACCAAGAATATGTAATTTCAATTTCTTAGTTTAGCTTTAAAACATCTCTTTTTAGTACTCGTGTGCTTACGCCCATTGGAGACATTCTGTTTATTTCCAGTTGTAATCATCATCAATAAATCACCCATTTTTGGAACTTTGTCTTAAAGGTTTTTCCTTACACAATCTTCTGAACCCTTTTTTAATTGTTAGCGATAACCTGCGTGAAACAATTCCCAAGTCTGAACTTAAAGCCATAGCGGCCGAACTTCACTACACACAACAGGGAGGCAACATTACATTTCACGATCCACACCAGGCGATCTTGTATCCTATCATTTATTTGATGTATATGGGGCTCGGGGCTAGAAAGTACGTGGAGAACCTCGAGTTGACAAAGATTGAATTGGCATCTCTAAATGGTGTTAAAGCTTCTGCAGTCCAAAACGATGTAACCCGAGTTTGGGTTAACGAGAGAAAGATTGGCGCAATTAGGGCGATAAATTTCATCTGGCTTCACCTCCATGTAGTTGTAAAAAAATTCTAGTTCCAACTTGAATGAGTTATAAATAAGCTCCTCATTTTAATAATTTATAATTTTTCTACATGATATTTTAAAAAGCTTGTCTACACATAGTAATAATTATCCGTATATTGTAGAATAATTATGTTTTGTTACATTAAATGTTTAAATTTTTAAGACGACTTTGCATATTCACATCACCGATTAAACTGTTTGAACGTGGCCATATTCAAACAGGGGGCAATGTGGTGCTCTCAACACGCGCCCCCACCTATAGGGGACGCCACATCGCCCCTTGTTTGAACTGGGTCTACGTGGCCCTATTCATCTAGCATGATCCTTTTACAACGCTACATAGATACATGTACTAGTTTCTTAAAAAAATGTCTCTTTTATTAATATCGATACCTTGAATTTGACCTTCTCCATTAATTAATTATCAACGTAGTGTATATTTTACCTCTATACCACTTCCAATAAGGATAACTAAGTCAAAATAATAAATTTTATAACTATATTCATATTAAGATATAACCTCCTTATAGAAAAGTTTTATTGTATGTATAATGGACATTTTATACCACTCAAAAGGGACGAAATGTCACGAAAGACCTGTGTTTTACGTAAAATAAAAGGTTGTCTTATTCCTTTTGTGAAAAAATAAAAATAAAATTAAATATCGTTTAGCATTTAAATAGGACAAAATGTAACATTTGTGGGCTCTTTTCCTGCAAAGAAAAATTGAACAATAATTACTTCATTTCCGTATCAATTGATACATTGCAATCACGACATAATAATGGAACTTTTGCTCATAATTCATAGTTGACTTATTTCTTTGATTGCATAAAATTAACCATGGACCACCCTTGGTACCTTCTCTCACGAACATAAAAAAACATACACACTAGCCAGCATAGGATATACACACTTGACTCACAATGCCAAACAATTACTTTGACAAGAAGCAACCATAAATAATTTGTTCTGAATTGGGTTTTAAGAATTCCATTGATAAAGAAAATGCATGTAAAAACACAAGAATTAATAACAGAAACCCCTAGAAACATTTTCATATGTGATATATCCCCTACCTATTGAAACTCGCAGAAAACCCCTTGTTTGAAACATCACGTCGTCAAGATCCATCAGATTTATCGTTAAAAACAGTAAAAAGAAATGCCAAAATTAAAAAAGAATAATTTCAATTTCAGTACCCAAACTTCTTTATTTTTTTACAAATTAAATTCAAATTTGTAAAAATAAAAAAGGTTATCTCATTCGAAATGGTAACTTAATATTTTTCCATAAAATAATTTAAAAAGGGTAATTAACACATAAGGTTCCCATCTTTCATTGTTATTGTGGAAAACATCCATACCTTTCATTTTTTGACATTTTCACACTTATTTTCATATTTCATTGCGCAAAATGTCATTTTCATTCATGTTCTCAATTAAAAATTGTGAAATGACGAATATACCATTCTCTTTAAATAAAAGAAAAAGAAAAAAAAATTTAATTGCAACCATAATCTCAATTTTTTTTAAAAAGCGCAAATCAGTCCCAAATAAATTATTAAAATGGTAATTAGTACATAATATCCATACATTTCACGATGGTTGCGAAAAACGTTCATACCTTTCATTTTTTGACATTTTCATCATTAATTACCCATTTGATTATGCAAATCATCATTTTCATCCAATTTCTCAGTAAAGAGTTGTAAAATAATGAATATATCCTCATATTTAAATATTTTTTTAATTTCTAATTCTTTAATAATTATTTGGAACTCGTTTGCACTTTTCAATTTTTTTTAATTTTTAAATAAAATTAATTGGGACTCGTTTGCTTCTTTTTTATATATATAAATAATTTTTTTATTAATTTATTGGGGACTTGTTTGTAATTTTAAAAAAATATGAACTATGGTTGCAATTAATTGTTTAGCTTTTTATTTAATTAAGATGGTATATTTGTTATTTTATAGCTTTTTACTGAGAAATTGGATGAAAATAGATAAAAATGATGGTTTGTATAATCAAATGTGTAATTAAGGGTGAAAATACCCAAAAAAATAAAATAAAATGTAGAACGTTTTTTGCAATAATAGTGAAATGTAAAGATATTATGTGCTAATTACCCTTTTAATAATTTATTTGAAACTCATTTGTGCTCTTTAAAAAAATTTGAGAGTATGATTGTAATTAATTTTTTTCTTTTTGCCTTTTGTTTTATTTAAAGAGAATGGTATAATAGTCATTTTACAATTTTTAATTATGAAAATGACATTTTGCACAATGAAATGTGGAAATAAGGGTGAAAATGTCAAAAAATGAAAGATAATGATATTTTCCACAATAACAGTGAAAGATGAGGATGTTATGTACTAATTACCCATTAAAAAATTTAAATAAAAATATAAAATAAAATAAAATAAAATAAAAAAGAAAAAAAATCTTCTTCTCCCCACAATCCCCATCCCCATCTCTAAACTAGAAATTTTTCGGAGAACCACCACCTTGTCGCCTCTAAAGCCGCTAGAGAACACCGCCACGCCTCAGGGGCGAATCCAAGGCTCGAGTTCAGATAGGGCGGACGATGCATATTGAACGCTTACGGTCAACGTTCGTGATAGCGGTGTTATTTATTAATATTAAATTAAATAATATTCAAAAAATCATAAGGACTAGAACTAGAAGAACTAAATACACCACTAAAACTAGAACTAGGTACCAACTTTCATTATGGATGAAAAAATCGTTATATAATCTAGAAAATGTTCTAATTTATTTTTCGATCAAACATGCAATATATATTAACATATTATCAATATTCAGTTCACAATTAAAGTTAATTAAACAACCATTATTATATTTAAAAAGTTGAAATTATTTACGTGCTTATATCAATTTTATGTGCTTGTGTGATTTCACTTTTCCGCAATCGATTTTTTTGTGAAAGAAAAGTGGAACTTTCTATTAATTAAATAAATTTTGTTGAAAGTTTCCTTATGACACTAAGGCTAATTTTTTTACAAATTCATTCGTCATTAATTGACCAAACTCTCAAATAAATTGATTAGAGAAAAAAAAAAATCAAGAA